GATCAGCAACCTTGGGATGCTCCTAAACTGCGCGCCGAGGCAAGCGATTGGCTTCTGGGTTGGTGGGCGGGATTCTAGAGAAGGGAAGCTTGTTTTCATTGGCCATAGGCCGACTCCGGACCCGCCCTTGACGCATACGCAGATGTGTCTGGAGCTTGTGGGCGGGCTGCAGATTCTGCGCCTGCGCGATAGGCAGTACTGCGGACGAGTGTCAGTCCTGGCAGTCGCTGGAGACAGAGAAGGGGCTATTTTTTTATTTTTATTTATTTATTTATTTTTATTTTTTAAAACTTACTACTTCCAAAGAAAGGAGGTGTGGCTATCCTCAGGGACACTGAAGAATATTGGTCTTATAAGTACATTCTAAGAGTCCAAAATATTGTGCTTTGAAAGATGTTATCACAGTTACCAGCTGGTTTTCCTGTGTTGACAAGATACAGCTGAAATAACAGAGTGTCCAGAAGGGGAGGGAGAAGGCTGCTCCTAGAGAACCTGGAGCCAGCAGATTTTTGAAATCTTCAGAAATCCTGAGCTACATCTAAGGAAATTTCCTAAGGGGTTGTTAAAGGTATTTGGAGGCGAAGCAGTCGCGGTTAGTTACCGTTTTCACAAATCGGGATTGAAAGATGCATGATCTAGGGTAAGATGATAGACTCCTAAGAAGTGTTGCCCTGCGAGGGGCAGTGATAATTAACCCTAGACTGAGCACTGCTGTAGTGTCAGCTAGCAGATTAAAAGAACGAGATTTAGCAATCACTTAAGTATGTGACCAACTAAGCTGCAACATTGACGATAAAGCAAGTTACCAAGCACTCTGTTCCCTTTATAGTATCTGAGCGTCACTTAATTATTACCAGGAATGACAAAAAGAAAATTCATTGCTAGAAAAAACAAGTCCAGGATGAGAAATGAAATGGATGTTAAGACAGTAGACAAGCAAGTAAATCCCTCTTTGCTTGTAAGAAAATCTATCTTTATGTTCCAAAAGGATGAGCAGAGTTAACAGAAAACAAGATGTGGTACAAAGGTGGGAGGGAGGAATGTTCGAGTTGCTGTTGGGAATGTAAAATGGCACGTGCTTTTGAAAACAATGAAGCATTTCCTCAGAGTGCTAAACATAGGATTATGGAATGAGCCAGAATTTCCCAAGCATAACTACAAAAGAAATCAAGATATAAACCCAATATGCCTACAATACACAAAAGTTTGTAAGAACGAAAAGTAGAACAAAACCACCCTGATATAGGGAATGAAAAGAAATGCACATATTGCCCAGGTAATACAAATTGGTAATAACAGGGAATGGGGCCTCATATGGCAAACTAGCAAAGAACCCTGGAAATAATGAAGCGAAGGGAACCAGGTATCAGACAACCTAAGTAGGTTTTATTATTTCTTTTACATGAGATATCCAAACAAGGTAAATCTTTGAAAGTAGATTAATACTTGACCAAAGAGTAGGAGAGGGGACTGGGAGCAGGGTATAGACAAATTAATGAGAGGAACTGGAAAGGAAAAAAGAGGTTTTTTTTTTAATGAGGGGTTAATAAAAAAATTCTAAAATTAGGTTATGGTGAACGTTGAACAACATATACAAAAAGTCGTTTTATGCTACAAACAAATATCCACAAAGTCATTATTTAGACATGTGGAACAAAATGAAGGCCAGCCAGCCTTGTGGAGATGGACGTACTGCATTATACTATGTGAAATTAAATGGCCTCAATGGCAGAGTAAATATGAAAATTAAATCAATACTTTAAAACAAAGAAACCATCCAAAACGAGCTGCTGAGTATCTTATTAAAAAAAATAAAATAGCAGGCAAAACAGTCAGCTGATACACGAATTCTTACAACTTGATATACTTGTAAATAGAGTTCCTGAATGAGAGATAATGAAATAAGGAAAAAAAGCAAACAAATGAGTACTATCAAAAACCCCCATGTTGAAATTTTATTATAAATCCAAACACATCCAAAGCTCCTAACACAGTGGTTCTCAACCTTTCTAATGCTGTGACCCTTTAATACAGTTCCTCATGCTGTGGTGATCCCCAACCAGAAGATCATTTTTGTTGCTATTTCATAACAATAATTTCGCTACTGTTATGAACCATAATGTTAATATCTGTGTTTTCCAATGGACTGAGGCAACCCCTGTGAAAGGGTCATTTGACCCCTGTAGGTTAAGAATTGCTGCCCAAACACAAGAAACATGAATAAACTGCCATTGCATGTCATCATTACCTCACTTTATCCAAGACCATTAATAAAAAGAAAAATGCCATAGGCAAGCAACCAAAGAAGGGAGAATGTTACATGTAGAGAAACTTGGATTTTTTGTTAGATATAGTGCAATAAAAAGGTAGTGGGACAACAACAGTAAAGTCCTGTTTGAAAAGGCAAGCCAACCTTGAGGTCTATAAGCAGCAAACAGCCTTCAAAATGATGGTTAATGAAAGGCATTTTTAGCGTGGAAGTGGAAGCTGTTTTTCAGATCCACACTATATAAAGAATGTAAAATGCATTGGTCATATGAAAAAGTGACATATTAAAATATGAATATGTACAGAAGAGTAGAAAGCACCAGATGTGGTAACTACATGAGGAACTATGTCTCTTCTTAATATTTAAATGTTTATGAAATATGTATTGATAATTTCAGACAAACAATTGATGTCATTGTACACAGAGATTTCAGAGATTTTTAAAATACGCTCCAATCTTAACATCCAAATGGCCAGCACTTCAGATCTTAACGTTCCCCATGTATGTCCAAACCTCAAAGCCCAATATTAGCTAAGAGAGGCATATCTTATCAGAGAATGTATTTTCCCTATTACAGAGGACTTCAATTAGCTTCCTTGCTGCACAATTCATGGCGATGTAAAGCACACACTCTGGATTAAAGGGAATTCAAATTCATTCGGAGCTCAACCACCTAGTACATCGATGACCTTGAATAAATTACTTAATCGAGAATTTAATTTTGTCACTTATTAAGGAGAATAAGGATAAGAATGCTTCTTTTAGTAATTAGGAGAAAATTTCTTTTGGAAAACCCATAAAAGGTACTTCTCAAAAGTTTCTGACACTTTTGAAGCCGAGTAGTAGGGCTGAGTGTTAACTCTTTGGTTTCTGTGCCTGTCAGCTCCCTGTAGCAGTCGCGTGCAAATGGAAGCAGAACATGAAAAAAAATAGTTCAAATTTCTTGGGAAGAATCTTTTACATAATAACTTAGGATATGTTCAAGGAGGTAAAACACGAATTAGATAATTTTCCAGTTTGATATGATTCACAATATTTCCTTTTCAAGGTTTGCTGCCTCTCGTTTTTTCAGTAGTCAAGTCGATCCACATACTTAAAACTCTTAATTTTGAGGAGTTTCACTGAAACCACAATTAAGAAATAGCTGCCGAGATGCTAAGTATTTATCTCAGAAACAGTTTCACTGTCCTGCCTTGAACCACCCCTCAGAAAGTCAGTGTGGGTGTAGTATTAGCCGCAACTATGGTTTTCGGGAATTTCCAAACCAAGATATTCCATTGTGTTTTCGAAAGGATCTTCATGTTCAGCATCTAAATTGCAGTTCCTAAGGCAATTCTTGTCTTGGGTTGCCAGTTCCAGATGAATAGATTCTGCCTCACACATTGTTCAATATCCTGTTCAGTCCATCACTCCTCTTGCTATGCTCAGCATCTATGCAATTTGGACACGGACCACCTGACCTGAATTGCAAGTCTTTGTGAGAAAGGAATGACTTACCAAAAGCAAATCCTTTTTTCAAACCCACTGGATCCGTCCTAGTCATTCTAGCCCTCCAGCTCCTTACTCTGTTGTCTGGCAGGAATGAGCCAAAACACCATCAGGAGAGCGCGAAAGTCAGAGGAATTCTTTTTAAGTCCTAAACTCAGTGTTATGCATGTTATACATACTATCACGTTGAGGTTGTTCTGGTTGTTTTCCATCTAATTTGAAAGGGTTTTTTCACTGCCTGTCCCCATGATCTTCACATTCACTTTGAAAAGACCTATCTTAATCTCCATTGCC